TCCTGAGGGATGCTTTTGTTCTGGGAGCCAGTGTCACCCACGGTACTGGCTTCAGCCATTGTAGGTTTGTAATCTTAACAGAAGCAGGGGGGATCTACACCCACAACTTTCACAAAATTTAGGCGTATTTAAAATGCAGTTTTTTCTTCCTGGTTTTGTAGCTGTGCTAGAAAGTCATTACACATGGATTTATTTTTCCTTATCTCTTGGATTATCATCGGCTTTCTTCCTTCCTTCCTGGATGAATTTATCCAGTGCTCTGATTACAGCTCCATTTTTTTATCACCTCCTGTCTATGGGGCTTAAGATTTTGTATGTTTAACATAATTGAGCTGAGTATTTTGCAGCAATTGACAGTGAAGATAATTTTCCACCGATTGATGGGTTGGTTACAGTGAATCTTTCTGCAGTCTACTCAGTTTGGCTATTTGCTGTTTTGGTTGCAGACCTGCTTTATTTTATTTGTCCTTGTATTTTATTTCTGTTTTTGTCCTTGTATTTTATTTTCATTTTTGCAACTGAACCACATATTAATCTGACTTTGGAGAGGGGAAACGGAGACAACATTTTAGGTTTTAAGAAACTTCCACAAAGATTCAGACAGCTGGGCAAAGATAAATCCAGTATGCAAACAGCGTCATGAATATCTTAGAAAACAATCATTTAAAATACCAGGGCATCAAATATCTCTTTAGTCTCTTTTTTTGGACTGGGCTTGGGATTTGACTGTAGGGTATTGGTTATTTCTGGGCTCATGTAACAATTGCACAGGGAAGAGGGAAGAAACAGGAAAAAATATTTTAGATAGGTGTTTAAGGAAAGTGGTATTACATGATTTTAAAACAAAAAAGAAATCTGTAAGTTGCATGAGACTGTGACTGACAATGTCCTACAGGGGCTGATTGTTAGAACTAGGAGGTCATCACCTTTCCAGAGCTAAACTGCTTTCTTCTGTGTGCTTGGGGGTGCAGGGAGAGAGGGGTGAGTTTGGTATACCTGGGATGTCGTAGTTAAACTAGGAGGAATTTTTTTAAGGCTTTCCATGAACTAGGAGAAATTAACATTTTTACTGAAACATCTTTAATTTTGTTGTTAAGGGCAATTGTAATTTAGTGTGTGTTAGCTGGCTGACATTTACTCTGCACAAGTTTTAAAGCATTTTATATTGAAAATGTATCTGCCTAAAGACTTATCCCAAACCCTGAATCCTGTATGAGTCACACAGTGCTATTTTATTTTGGTCTGCGTATAGATACTCTTCCATAACAATAGAAGGATTTTCCTCTAATTATTATTGAAATAGGACATTTTTTATTATAAAACAGGTATCGACACAGCTTTACATCAGAATGATGGTGATGTGTGATATAAAACAGTTTGGGTTATTTCAGTGCAAGTGTCTACATACACCAGCTGCTGTAGCACGTTAATCAATTTTTGAAAAATAACCCTTTTAGAAGTTGTATAGACAAGCCCTGACTGCTTGCCTGCAGAAAGAAAGATGATAAATTAATTTAACTATTAAACACCAGTTGAGGTGGTTAATTTTTAATGAAGACAATGAAAAACTGGTTTTGCTTGTATTCCCTGGAACACCCTTTCAAAAGCTTTGCTTTTCCAAAATTTTTTTTTTCCTATGCGTGTGGTGCAGGATGTGACTTGGTTCACAGCAGGTAGGTTCATTAGTTGGCATTTCTGGTATAATATCCCGCTGCGGACAACTTACAAATATTGGTATTTAGGTCATCTTAATTAGGCCTCGAAATGAAGATGTAAGATAAAGTGAAGTAATTGCACATACTTCATTGCGGCTGAGCTTCTTCAGTGAAAAGAGGGTGCAATTCCCGGGCAGTATGAACTGATTTAAGCAGAGTTGCTGCAGATCCGCCTCACCGGTGCTCCTGTGGTTGTACAGGGAGCTGAACCGATGAAAACGAATGATTTTGGGGAGAGGTGAAAGATGTGGCAGTTTTCAGCTGCGTTAGGTGCTGTGCTGGATATCTCTGCTCTCACTACTACTGATGCCAGCACAGGGGGGGAGGATTGGACTGGGGCAGCCCCCATTTATATCACTGCAGGCTTCTGTGTGACCCATGCTTCTTCATTGCTGGTGATTTGGCGGGGTTCATCTGCTTTCTTCCTTCGCTCCTTCCTGGATGAATTTATCCAGGGTCATGCTTACATTCACGCTAGTTCAGAGGGAGCTCAGGTATCGGTGCTCTCCTCCCAGGCTTGGCTGAGCAGAGCGCTTCCCCCCATTCTTTGTGCAGACTCACTTGCCATGTTAGGTCCCCAAAATACTGCAAAGTCACTACCGGTGAAAATCACTGTAAGCTCTTTTGTGCCAAGAGGGGTGGCAGCGATTCCCATCCCACTTGCGTTGCATTCGAGGTTAGCAAGCAAAAACCAGGAGGCAGCATCCCTGGTGCTGCGTTTAAGAAGTTGCAACCAGCAAGGGGTGCCAGAGGAATCTGAACAGTCAGCAGGCAATGGATGACCAGCGTTTAAAGCTGCCCCGGAGCTGATGAAATGCAGTTGTGTGTATTTCTGCCAACCAATGCATCTGCCTTAATAACAGATGCAGATGTAGGACGTGCAGTCTTCAAACCCATCTCCACCAAGCCATTGGCAGTGAAGTGGAGGATGGTGGGTCACTGGGCGAGGAGAGGCTTGGAGGAGGGTTGCAGTGGTGGCTGGAATATGCATCCAGTGTTGTGCAAGCGTCTTACGGCATCTAACAGGCAGCAAGGGGAAACACTGTGTGACTAGTTTGATAAACGTAATACGAAGAAGGTGGCAAGGTTGTACTGTTGTTTATCTCTCTTTGGCTAGCAACACGCAAAGTATGCTTTTGGTGTTGTAACACCGCAAGATGGGAAGGTGCCATCATTTAAGTGTGTTATTAAGCTAATAACATATAAAGAGGTATTAAAAAGCAACAGCTATCATCTGCTACATCAGTGATGCTGGTAGTTGAAACTTCCAACTTTTGTTTATGGACCGATGTAATTGAAAATGGAGGGGGAGCTCCTCCTGATCTGAATTTCTCCCTGTGAGAACATCTCTTTGTGTCCTCTGACTGTGGATGGAGCCAAGGGAGCACCCGTGGGCACAGGAGGCAGATATTTGGTCTCTTCTTCCTTGTCTATGCCAGCAAATTCAGCACACCCTGAAATGCAGACTATTTTTTCTTAATATTTTGAAGGTGTATCCTATCATGTACCAAATCTTTTAAAATTCTCATTTAGACAAAGCCTGAGGGGATTTAGGTTTACATATTTTCCTAGGAGGATTATGTTTCACACTTAGTTGCTCTATAAATTGTTTGAGGTTTTTTAAAATTATTTTCTAAGTACAGGAAAAGCTACATACACATTCAGACTGTCCTGAAATGTGTTGTCTGGGGTTTAGTGATAGAAATCTGGTGTTCGAACTAGTAGTAAACTGGATCACTGAACCTCAAGGTTATTTTGAATTGAAAAACATTCCGGTAATCAGATTTGCAGCACGGCTGCAGGAACAGTTGTAGCAGCACAACTGGAAGGGCTAGCAAATTGCAAGAAGGATTAGAAACTGCTTACACTGGCATCAGAGAAAACAATTTATTGTGAAAATACAGCCCAGGAATAAATTAATGAGCACCCTTCCAAGCACGGGGGTGCTCATAACACACTGAGATTCTGGAAGCTCTTTACATGCAGATCAAGGCAGTAAGGCAGCTCAGTGGGAAGGATATTAAGGTAATTGGGAAAAAATAGTGGTAGTCTATGAGGACTTTTACAATTTAAGTTCACACTCATAAAATCACTGGCGAGGTGCTGTACAGCTCAGCAATGGCCCCTAGGAGTGATGGGTGCTGACAGTCCCCGTGCTAGCCGGGTGCTGCGGCACGGCGCCTTCGCTCCGCTGGCTGTCGCAGCTGCTTGACACCCACCGACCGGGGTCGTTTTGATGATTGCCAGCTTAATTTTTCATTATGTGCCTGCAGGTGGGCTGTAGCTTACACATTTATTTTTTGTATTTACGGTGTTTTTTGGAGGGCTGGGTGCAGCTTATTCTTTTGTGCTGCCATTTTTCCATGACGGTAATTGCCGAGTGATCTCTCCCCCTCCTTATCTCGCCCCACGAGCCTTTCGTTGTATTTTCTCTCCCCTGTCCAGCTGAGGAGGGGAGTGATAGAGCGGCTTTGGTGGGCACCTGGTGTCCAGCCAGGGTCGACCCACCACAGGTTGGAGGTTGTGTAGCAGCAATTGCTGCTAAAACCAAGCCTGTACCGGGGCTTCTTCCCTGCCCACTAGGACAGTTGGAAAACTTGAAATGCTGAGATTTCCTTACTTCGTTTCACTGAAGGTGGAGGAGGGGTCTGACTCAGCCCTGGAAAACTGGTTCAAAACAGGGCTAAACTCATCTGTGCTGCTCAGAGGGATGGTCAGAGCTCCCTTCTAAACTGCTGGTTTGTGCCCAGTGCGGCCGGCTCATCTTTCATCTCGCTTCAGTCACTCCTCACAGGAGTGATGAGGTGGACATCACTGAGGAATGAGTGGCATTTATTTGGTAAAAAGGGCAAGGGGCAAAGAGAAGTGTCCCCTGTGGCAGTGTGAACGACAGGCAGTCTCTGTAGATCTATGTCTGCGTTATTTTATCACAGAGCTGTACTTGTAGCATTGCAAGCTATACCACAGCAAATGTGGGACTGGTGTTAGGTGGGCGTTAAACCCTTGAAGGAAGGAAAACCTGAAAGCGCAAACTGAGGAGGAGCTGTTGGGGAAGTTTCAGCTTCTGTTTTGCTATAGAAGCTTTTCTGGAGTAAGTTTGCTTCTGGTTGGGATCAAATTGATTTAGTAAGGTAAGCAGAACAGAACAAAATTGATTAATTACCAAAGGTATGGCTTGGCTAGTGAACAGCAGTTTGTGAGCTTTACTAAATAACAGCTCTGAGGACTTTCTCATGCCCTCTAACCCATGGTGATCTTTTGTGTTCTGTCTTCTCTGCAGACGTCGGCTGATCTCCCAGCGATCTTCTCTGGAGACTCTGGAGGACATCGAGGAAAATGCCCCACTGCGGAGGTCATTTTATTTACTCTCTCTCTGGTTACTTGTCTGTAAGGCACGTGCGTGGACAGACTTGATGTCCCTGTGCATGTTGGAGAGTAGCTGGGTGTTCACGTTAAGATGTTCTTCGTAGTGGGTAAAGTGAAACCTCACGCAGCCTGCAAGGTGGTAGGTGACATGAATTACACGTTCCCTGGCTTCAGGTTATTAAATAAAAAGTCAGTATTTAAATAAAATGTCAGGAAATAAAAAATCAGATTTGATTAATAGGGAAGTTTAGTTGTCACTAACAGGAATGACTAGCCTCTAACATAGTACCTTTAAAAAGTAAGTACAGCTGGTTTCATAAAGTAAGCTTTTGAAGGCTAGTATTTTTAGTATTCTTACTTTTTATGGATTTTTATCGTTTGTTCTCTCAGCACACACAATCTTATTTCGGTAACTGGTGTTACTATCTTTGTGTGTTGGCTGGTAGGTTTGTGACTGCTACCTCACTAATAAATCTGCCCCCATCCTTGTTATATCAGCAGCTTCAGTGTGGTTTTATTTCTGCATCCAGGAGGCCACAGCTTCTCTGGGGACCGCAGTAATTAGTCACTATGCAATCCTCTGGGGTGATAGAAAATGGAGCAACTGCTTAACAGTTCAGAAATGGGCTGATGAACGATCTGACTGGTGCATGGTATGCTTCCAGGTCAGCTGTTCGGCAAGGCGGCAGCTTAATTTTGAATGTCTCTTTATCTTAGGACGTGTAATTCAGCTGGTTTATATCGGTGTTTAGCCTATAGCCTTGTTTATCCACATGCAGATTGGCTGTCTCTCCCCACCTCGAAGCAAAGACTTAATAGCAGAGGCTGTACCAACTGGCCTATTACCAAGGCTTGATTATTTTTACAAAGCTTACCGTTGAATGCTTACCAGCATTTTATGAAGCTTTTTCATAAATTATTCAAACACATATAATTGGCAAAAGGTATAAACAAAGTATGGTTTGCGAGGCAGTATTTTTACTTGCTAATTTGCAGAATTGATGCTAGAACCTCTCTCTTGGTGGTATTTTCCTGTGAAGAAGCTAACAAGGCTAGTTGCAACCAGAGGGTGAGGGAATTTTACTAACAGGAGGAAGGCAGAAATGGCAGAGTGATGGGGCCCCCCCCTCGGGGTGTGCCCATGCAGCGTGATGGCATTTGGGTACAGCAAACAGGGACTGGCAGTCTCTGGTGACTTGGGACCAGTGGTCTGTGGTTTGAGTCCAACAAAAGGACCTCTCAAGGTTGGGAAGCTGCTGAACTCTGCCTATCCATAGGAGAGGATGAGAAAAATAGGTTAGGGAGGCTCTATGCAGAGGGACTGTGCTGGTCCCGTGTGCCAGCGGAGGATGCTTGTCCCGTAGCTCCCACGGAGGATGCGGCGGCTGCGGTCCAGCAGCCCCGGCCGCGCAGCGAGCGCAGGAGTTATCTTCGGTGCCTGCGCGTCGTGCCGTGCCTTGCAACAAAACAGCACTGAGATGAAACAGAGAAAGCTTTCACATGGCGCTGTGGTTTCAGTTGATTAAAAAAAGCAAGGCTGGAAGCGGGGGGGATATTGCTGTTTGTGTCATCTTTCCTCCCTCTGGCAATTTCTTTCTCTAACTGCAATTTAAAATGTGCGTTCAGATGTAAAATGGATTTAAGGATTAATGTTTTGAAGAATGATTTTTTTTTCCTGAGGTAATTTATTTTATTTTCAGTGGTTTTTTATGCTGTCAGGAACGTGAAAAGTAATATTTAGAGTTAAAAGCAAATAGGAATTATCCTTGCAAATGAGAGATTTAAAATCTTGCTAAAATTAAAGCAAGAAAGAACTTTCCTCAATAGCTCCTTTATCAATAGCTGAGGAGGATACAAAAGTGTGGGTGTTGGTGTGAGTGGGAAAATCGCATATTTACCAGGTTTTGTTTTAGTTTAATTTTTTTTTCCTCTGAAAGCTTGGGCTAAGCTGTCACGGCAGATTACAGGAAGTTTTATTTTGCTGAGGTTTTTTTATGATGTGTTTTTTTGCTTGAAGGGAGGGGTGGTGGTGCCTTTTCTTATTACTATTTTAAATATTCTTTTTTATTTGAGCTGTCGCATTTCCAGACTTACTGTCTTTATTGTTCTTGCTGATTCCTAACACAGGGTGACTTGAATAATTTGTCTCGTCTTTCCTTCCTGCCTTTGTGTAGACTTCTTGGCTCTACAGCAGGGAACTGAGTACTTCTACTTTTTTCTTTTTTTCTCCCCCTCAACTGATTTATTTTTCAGATGTCGGACACTCTCAGGATCACCCAGACCAAAGAACTTTAAGAAGGTTCATTTTATCAAGAACATGCGGCAACATGATACCAGAAACGGCAGGTACTGTGCATGCAAAGGCTGCTTCTGCAACGGCAATCCATGGGGCGCAGGGGGAAGGGCAGGGTCAGCATCCCCGTGCAAGAGCACAGTGTGCCATTGCCACTTAACTGAATATATAGTAATGGGCTTTGAAATAGTCCGTGAGGTGCAGGCTGCAGTGCACGCTCCTTCCTCGGGTGAAGCATGAGTCAACAGAAGTGCTAGCCCATGGATTTTCAAGACCTGTGTCTCCATAATACAAATAACTTGCATAAAATGAAAATCAGTCGGAATAAACTAGGCGTAATCTGGTTGCATTTCTTCAAGGGTGGTGCCAGGTGCTAAGTGTGAGAGGGGCACATGGCCGAACCTGGCGGGGGACAAGTTTAGCAATGGCTGAATGACATTTCAACATCTATTAGCGGGTATAAGGGTAGGCGTCAAGCTAGCTGGGTTGTCAGGGCTGCCTGTGGCGGGAGGCTTACTGGACAAGTGACTCAAGAAAACAGCTTCAGGGAAAGGTATTAAGATTATCCTGAGTCTTACAAGATAAATTATAAACGTGACAGATCCCGATCGCACCATTGCGTCCTCCCGGATGCAAAGTGCTGGTTGGTAAACGTGCAGCTGGGGATGGTTGTGGCAAGGTGAGGAGTGGGATCCTTGTTTTCAGGGCAGAGGCAGGCAGAGGGGCTCCCGGGGGTTGTGCGAGAGGTGCAGCTGTGCCCACGGCACACCGCGAGGCTGGGGCACGCGCTGCCCGGGTTGCAGCCATAGGCACCAGTGGGACCTATACAGCAGTGGTTGGCAGGGACTTCCCATGCTGCAAAGGCATGGTGCCTGTCGTGGTGTTCCCATCAGCAAAATAGGTTCTTCATTGCAGTATCATCCAGCTCAGAAGTGAAACTAGCTCCTTCCTGCTTGTAAAGAAGACACCTGCCCTCTCTGGTTTTTTCCCAAGACAAACTCCCCACGTGATTTTATTCTTGTCCTTCCAAACTTGAATAGGTTTTAAATAGACTACCTGAACAGGTTGCATATAGACTAAACCATCCCACTGAGTGCTGACCTTTGCACATACCTATTCTCATACAACTGCCGTGGGTGAGAACCACATATGTTCCTGTGGCCCAATTTGTGCACATAGCCTGTGGTTTCCATCAAACGTGGAACCAAATCAGTAGAAATTCTGACATTACCTTGAACCGCAGGTTTTTATGAATTGAATTCTGATGGGTATTACTTGGCTCGAGCTAAATTTTCCTCGCGTTTATTCTCACACGTACAATTAAATGACGTGAAAGGTAGTAATCAGCATAAATATTGCAGAAGGTGGCTCTGAGAAACGACGGCTTTTAGAAACAGCTTTTGTAGCAAACAGACGCATGCAGAACTGTTAACTATTGTCTGACTGGCAGCTGATTATTGTCTTTATAACAAATACATGTGATACCAAACGCTGAAAAGCAGCCCTTTAATTTTAGTCTGTTTTGTACATAAATATATGTACAGTCTGGGAATTTCTTACAGCAAAAAATACTTATTCATAAAGTATTATGCAAATTCCACAGAGAACGAGTAATTTCTGAGATGCATATATAAAATACATCCATAAACTTGATAGAAATATTACCTGCAAAAAAATGAATAAATATTTGGTTTCTGAACTCTTTTCTCCATCTGTTGCAAAAAAGTATTTGAAGGATATTTCCTAGCATTTTACCTTAGTTCATGTATCAGTCATTACATCTGATAATATAACTGAATATTTTTCTTGCTAAGGAAACAGTGAGCTGTTCCGTTATTCAGCTGGCTTCTTATCTTCATCAGCAGACACAGTTTTCCAGAATATTTCCATAACCTTAATAAAGATCCCTTTACCTAGAGCACAGACACAATAAGAATAAGATACACAGTTTTGAAAATGCTTTCTGTCCTATGGACAAAGAGCCATAGCGATATAAGCTAAAAATAAAATGCAAAGTCAACACTTTGTGTCACCCCTAAGGCCAGCTAAGTCTAGCAGTAAGTAATCTGATATTTATGAAGAATACCGTGTTTTTCCGAGGGGTCTGGATGCTATTGCAGTCAGTGAAGTTAATAGGCATTCTGGATGAAAAGGACTTCTGGAAATTCAGGTGGATCTGCTTTATGTGTTCATTGTAAAATCAACGGAGTTTGAGTACCTTAAGACCTTTAAAGCTGGTGTCCTCCCTGGTTCCCTGTGACACGGAGGAGCATAGGTATTGCAATGGATAGAAAACCCTCCTGGGGCTCCTTCCCCTGCCTGGGACCTTGTCCCAGGCGGCTCGTGTGTGACCGTACAGGACGCAAGCGCTGAGCCGGGCTGGAGTCGGGCTCTCTGAGTTCTTTCCGAAAAACCCTGACCCTTCTGTCGCAACACGTCAGCCTTTCACTTAACTTGAGGAACCCAGCTTTGAAAACATATACACAGAATATATTTTTGCGTGGTGAATTTGATAGCTGGGCTTTAAAATAGCTAGCGCTTTCAGTAATGGTTTCACTGGCTTGTGACTGTGAGTGCCACAGCAAAGAAAACTGCAATGTGGATGATAGCTCCGGGCTCCTTTCTCTGGTGACTGCCCTTATTTGCGGCTCTCAACCTGTAAAGTGATGTGTCCTTGTCCTGCGGCACTGAGAGCTCTTCCCTTCTCAGCCCCGCACTGAGCAACGATGCTCTGGGTCCAGCCTTCAGCAGTCCAGCAGCAAGGCAGGACCGGCTGTGGTTAAAATAACAGTTCAGCTATTTAGCACAGAGAAAAATCACCTACACACAGACCGCAGCTTATCAGCTAGTCCTTGTAAAGCTCCCTGTTGGTGGTTCTGTGCGGTGGTTAAACCGGTTTCTTCGGATTCGTAGGACATGGCTTATTAAAGGAGCTGGAAAATTAGGTTTCCTAGACTGTATTATCAAAGCAGTCTTGTAAAATAGCACAAAATAAATTTTCCCGTTAAAAGACAAAGACAAGTTAACCCTAACATACAAATTAGCACAGGTAGCCACCAGCGTGTGGTTTCACGCACTTTACTCAGCATGTTTATTGGTGGTATCTTCCATAATCTGTGAAGCAGAAGATTTCCTATCTAGCAGAAACAGGCCACCAAAACAGCAACCTGAGCCAGCTGAACAAACAATTCATGGTGAGAATGGGACAAGAACGTTTTTAGAGTCATCCTATATAGCAGATACAAAAGCAGTAAAAGAATGCTCCCCTCCCACCCCCATGCCATTGCTTTCTCAATTTTTTTGTTAGTATACAGATCTAAGCCAAGGCCAAACACCACCCATAGGTCATGAAAGGTCTCTTTTGCTGCCCTTTTAATTGTGGAAATGCACACACATGCACTCTTAAGAGGTTGACTATTTGCAGCATCCTCACCGTTCATAATTACTCTCAGCCACCTTCCAATAGCCCCAAAATGATGGCTGCTACCCAGACAGCATCCATGGTTTGTGTGTTCACCTTTGCATGCAGGGCAGCAAAGTCCTGGTAGTCAAACATCATCAATCAGATGTGAGAAAAGAGATTACAGTATTCCGCATGTGTATGGTACATATGATGTATATATCACATTGCCTGATCACAGCCTTTTGGTGCAACACAATCAAACCTAGAGAGATGCTAAAGAAAACAGACATTATTCTTCTTCAAGTCAAGCAAATTATTGATTCTGTTGAGAGCCTTGTGCTCAGTAAGTTTTTGTGGTTTCATAGGATACACCTCATTAAAGAAATGGGAAGATTAGCTTTTACAGTCTCAGTTGCACATTGTCAGAGCTCTCTTGCAAAATAATGGTTGCTCTGAACCATAGTAATTAGTACAACTTCTTGGTGAAATGTGAGAATTAGAGAGTGAAAACCTTTTCATGAAGTAATTTTAAACATGTCTAGGTGGCACAATGGCACTCAGGGCATGTTAACCCACTCTGACTCAAGCTGCTTCTGATGTCGGAGGTAGCTCATTCAGAGCTGCGCAGGATTGTAGACGCACTTTGTTGAAGAGTTGAAATCCAGGAAAATGCTTTTCTCCCATAAACAATAACTCGATTTTCTTCAACAGCAACAGGCTTCCACCACACCTTCTTCCCCAAAGCATACTTTGTGACAAGTTTCTGGACTTTCTGCTCCAGCAAACCACTGCAGGCCCTCAGAATTTTTTTGTTTTCCATGCATATCATCAGACCTCTAAATAAAATGCCATTTTATCCCTCCGTGATGAGCTTCTGACCACTGCCTTCCCTGCTTCTCTTCCAGTCCAGCTCCTAAGGCTGGTTTTGCACCGGCCCCAGCCTCCAGCAGCTCAGCAGATGAGGTTCTGTGGCATCCTGGCAGTGGAGGCCGTGGGCTCTTCTCCTGCTCTGCCTGGGAGATCTTTATGTAAAGAGGGTCCCCTGGTTTATGGAAAGAGAGGCAATACTTGGGTCCCCAGGGAAAGAAATCTGAAAAAACTAGAGGCTGGGCTGGTGCTTTTTATTTCCTTTCTGGTCTGATTATTTCTGATACACACAGCAAGTTTTCTGTGGTTACTTCCCACTGTTGTCTCTGCTTGTGGACATGGAAGCACCAGTTTGTTTTTCTTTAAGAGTTGGGTTTTTTTTTTTTAGGGACGTGTAGGGCGTTGGTGGAAGAGCTGTATTTCCAGAAGCAACCAGAGGGAGTGGGGGGAATACGCTTAGTGGGTACCGTGGTTTTCCGAATTCAAAGATGCTTTCTGATGTCAGCCTCGAAATCTGTGCCAAGTTTCATACATCAGCACACAAGGCTTCCAGTGAACAAGCAAGCTGTTGTGAGTAGCAACCATTCAGCAATAAGCAGTGGCAAGCACAAAATTAATCATATGCCAGGTTTTTTTGCTTGTGGATTGCCTTTCTTAAATGTGAAAAATTATCCCCCCCTGCTCTATAACTTACTGCTGCACCATGAGACCATCTTACAGAATCTGAGATGTTTACCATAGGTAAGGGGTGTTATAGCATTCAGACAAACAATGAAATCCTACTTTATCTGCTGCAGGAGAACTTCTAATGCTGTATGCATGTTTATTATTAGAAACCCTCCTTTATTAAAGGGTAAATACCACTTTGCTTTTAAACATGCTTTTAAGGAAGAAAATAGGATTGCTATAACAGAACGATCCAGGAGAAGGAAAGTTGATCATTCTGCATTTTTCCAAGCATTACATGCAGCAGCTCTCTTGGGGATCTAAACCTTTTCCAAGAACGATGACTAAGCTGGTCACTTAAGGAAAAAGTGTTTTAGTAACAGCGTAACCGGTGTGAGATTGATAGGTGTGTATGATGGTTTTCGGACAGTAAAGAACAAAATAGCTTGCTAGGGTTTGTTGTCCAACTTCGACCAATATAGGACAAAGGATGAAAAATTCACGTGAAATCCTCACATACAGATCTGTGGCACACAATGTCAGAAAAATCAACATTGGAGAGCAGAGCGAGGACGTGCAATAGCTCTGACAACCAGCCTAGCAGTAGGTCCTAGAATTTGGACCACAAATGGAGATTTTTAGAAAGGTAAAACATCAGTAAATTCTAACACTAATCAGATTAGAAGATGGCACAAATTGCCATCACCGTGTCTTACAGGAATTTGAGGGGATGCAGCCAACTTTAGAGGGAAGATGGATCTTTTTAGTGTACGTTGTACAATTGTCAGTGTCCTGAAGGTAATAAGGAAAGAGGGTATATTTATAAACAAACAGTTATTTATTGGCATTTTATATCTTACATCTTGATTAAGCTTCCTTTGGCTTCTTGCCAGTCTGCAAAAATCTCTCAAAACTATAATTATGTAGCTGTTGGCACTCCACGCAGTTTTATGTAAGGTGGGTCTTGACCTGAAGGTGGTTTTGATGTTGCTTAATGATATGTCAGTGCTCGATGGCTAAAGGTAATAGTGTGGCTGTAAAACAGATAGGTTGCTCTAGGGTATTTGATTTAATGCCACGCAGATGATGTAGAGATTTGGAGACTGGTTAAAAATACAAGGTATTTGCTGGAAGAGTGGCCTGGATTCTGAGATAAGCTCTGTGCAGGCAGATAACGTATGCTTTCACGTAGCCAAATCTTGAGCTGCCTGCCTATAAGGGATGAAGGCAAGCCATGCTTAGGGGAGGGATTCAGCCCTGACAGTTAGTGACCGAGATAGACGTGGCGCTGGAGGAGAAGGGGCGAGGAGCTGTGGGATCAGTTCTGCCTGAGTGCCAATGCAACATCACAACCAAGAGGGCTGATGGGATTACGGAGCGCAGAGGCTGGCGGGTCGTCAGGGCTAGACACTGATCTTAAAGGTAAGACTGAAAGATGTGGTGTTTATATCTGGCATCTGTGCAACTGCTGAGGCCGGTGATACTGCCCAGAGACCAAGAAGGGTGATGGGGAAAAACTGGAGAAGACTCAAGGAGGAACCTGGAAAACAACGAAAGGATCTGAAAGCTTATGATAATAGCAAACTTTGACTTTATCCATCAGTCAGGCTATTTCAGGAGCGGGAAGCTGAAAATCAAGGGAGTCCTTCGATTTAGCAGAGAAGGGTCATGACCAGCAGCTGGAGATTCTTGTCCGATAAATGCAGACTCCAAGTCAGCCACAGAGTTGTGGTGTGCATCGCAGGTGGTTGTTGGTGTGTATCACCTGCGTTGCTGCTGGATTTGTCTGTTTAGTTTCAGCCATAGTGGTGAGTGGTCAGAACAGCTCCTGGCCTTTCTGAGTGGACTCCTTTCACTAGCACTCCTTTCACTAGAAAAACATCTATCCTGGATTCCAAGTAATGTATTCAAGATAGTCTTCCTAGAAAGCCTGTAGAGGGGATGGGACTCCACTACTCATTCGCTGTGTAATGTATGTCACAGGCTTCAGCACTTCTGTAAAGACTCAGTAGCACAATACCCTACCTGTGGTACAAAAAAGAGGAGGGAGAAAGCATACGTGATGGAAGTTTTATGATTACGAATTCCTCAACGGTAACATCTGTTGCTTTGCTTATTGTGGTGGGATTTTTAAATTTTAGTCTTTGATTTCTTTTATTTTCTTTTATATTTTAGAATAGTCCTTATCAGCAGCAGAAGATCCTTCTGTAGCATATTTTCAGTGCTGCCATATCGAGACTGTACCCAAGTCGGGTATGTATATTTATACATGTACTACATAGTCTTTCTGGGCCTGCATGTAGACCTGATAATGGACAACAGCATGATGGAGGTTAATGCTTCTACATATCTGCTCTGAGAAGAGATAAATGCACTTAGATATATTTGCCTTGTGGAACATTACCAGGTTGAAACTACAGCTCTCAGTCCCCAGTTTATTTATATGTGTTTGGTATCTTTGATTATTAAACGGGAGAAAACTACCCCCCTGAAATCAATGTTCTTCAAAAATGCACTGTTTTTATTGTTTCTTCTGACTTCACTCCTCTGACAAAACAAGTACTCTAGACAGCACAACTTTTATTTTATAAGCAGTCTTAGCTTTCTCATTCTCCCATGCAAACATGGTGCTACTGTATCTAGATTTCCAGGACTGTAGAAGAATATTTGGATTTAAACATAATACCTTTTTATTGTACATTTAGCTGTTGGTCAGATCACTCAGTTGGTGAAAACAGATTATTTTGGCCATAATACCACAGAGGTTCTTAGCTGGTGTAAGCAACGTCCGTGGAGCTGCCTTGCATCCCTCGACGTGCTGAGACACTAGACCTCTGATAGAAAAGTTTCAGATTGAAGCATTTCTCCAAAGACTGAAAAAGCTTTTTGCTCTGGCGCTGCAGAAGTGGAAGAAACTGGATTTGGCGAGGAGACGTTGTCTGGCAGGCTCTGGGGCGCAGCTTGCCGGGGTGCCGGCAGAGGCGCAGCGCAGGGCTGGGAAGGGCAGTGCAGGTCGGCCGCGGCTCCGTGCCCCTGGGGCAGAGGAGTAAAGCGTGGCCACCACAGCTGCTCACCGGAGAACTGAGAGGTGCCTGTAGTTGGGGTCGGCTCAGCACCTTCAGGGCACAGAATTTGGGGGAAATACTCAGTTATACCCACAAATCATCTAGGGTCAAATTTATCCAGGGCATAAAGGATGAATTTGGCTCATATTGTTCAGCCATCTATTTAATTCTGGAGAACGATTTGCCACAAGCTGCTTGTGCATCAGTAATTCAAAACAAAGGAAAATTATTTTTAATGCACAAAGGAAAGGAGGCACCTTTGTAGGAGAGTTGACTTGCTCTCCTGTCTCTTACAGTAAATTTTTTCCCTTAATTAAACTGGGATGACACATTAGGCAAATTCTTGACAGACTGGCAGCTTTGTTCATTCTCCTTGGGTACACTGTCATTCATTTATGATCATTGCCCTGTGGAAGTTGCCTCTTTATTGAAAATTGAATATATTTTGAAATGCTGATGACTGGTTATACCTTCTAAATTACAGCAGTAACGAGCCCAGCTGCAAACCTAAATATTATTTCAGCATGTAATGTCTTGTACCATGCTTGCACAGCAAGAAGGGCATGGGATGAGAAGGTAGCAAGTGCCAGTACAAAACAATCCAGCCCTGTTCCCTTTGCTAAAAAGCCAAGATTTAAAAAAATGCCTCTGTCTTTCTTCCAGAGCATCTGAGGAAGAGAGAAACAATTCAGTGGCACCTCCTTCCAGGAACAGCTGGTGCAAAGAACAGATGAGGCAGTATAGCATAAACTGTAGCCGCTCTGTTCAGGCTGCACAGTGCTTGCTTACTTCATTGCACGTTTTGGATGTGTGGTAGAAGGGGGGAAAGACACTGGTACCCTGTTGAAGTACGGTAGTGACAGCATCCTTTAGCTTTGCTTTCTCCGAGTCTCTGGATTGCTGATGTCTGTCCCCAGGCAAAACGTCCTAACTGGGTTACGTTCTGCAAACATCACTGAATAGTTCAGGAAAAGAAACAAATCGTTGCAGGAAACCTTGGGCCCGTCTGCAATTAGACTGCAGTAAGCCCTGGCAGGAGCGGGGGAGTGGGGTGGACGTGGATGCAGGGGGGACTATTCCATGTGAGAGGAGCACAGGGTGGAGCTGCTGCTGCTTCTCCACCTCTGCTCCGACTGGCGGGCACTGCGGCCAGCGAGGAAATCTCCAGGCACAGCTGTGTTTTGGGGAGGATGCCAGCCCCCCTTATGTTGTAGGCAGCACAGAAGAGCTCTACTGTATCGATGCTGGCAGCTAAACTGTGCTAACAGATCCACTTAAAAAACTGATCTGAAAGGCAGTTCCTGCAAACACAGCTAAACTCTGCGTATTTGGCCAGGGTGGATGTGGCAGCATCGCCCCTCACCAATGAGGTGCAAGCAATGTACTCGAGGCTGAAGCCCTTGCTTGCCCACCTTCCATGCTGAGGTCAAGCTACAATAGCAAGAACCCTCCCCAAGCCCCCAAACTGTGTTTTTGAGTGGTTGTACAAATACCAGTGGAAGTCTGGAGAGTGCAGGGAGGAGAGCCATGGAAGTACATGAGAGGATGAAGATTGAGCTGTCCCCTGGAATATCTTTCCCAAATCCCCCTCCCCAGCAGCCGGGCAGCTGCCGGCTCACCAGAGTGTGCCTGGCAGCAGGCTTTTGAAGGGAAACGTACTCCAGAGCGGCACAGAGACTGCCAGAGATGAATGGTAGTTTTTGCTGCCCGTGGTTTCAGAAGGCCCTTCTGGTGGTACTTGCTGGGGCTGAGGAGGAAGGACACCATGTACCAGGGGAATTACTTTCTCTAGTTTTCTCTGTTACGCTGAAGAGAAGCGAAAAGTACAAAGCAAAGAGTGACGTGGTGGGGAGAAAAAAGTCATGAACAGAAGAAATCGCTAGAATTTTCAGCCCTCAAAATTTTGTCCATACCTTGTATCTAATCGAAACCTAATGCTTTAGCTTATACTGCTTTTGTGCAAGGGAAAAGGAGAGAATTAATACTAAATTGACGAAGGTTTTGAGATGCGTTAACTCCTACTGGAGTCACTGAAAGGCAGGTACTTTTGTGGAGCTGGACCATAAATTCTTCTCTCTAGGTCTGGCTATGTTAAGGCTGCCCACATCTTTGCTGGGGGCACGAAGACAGGCACAGCTTCACCTGTTTCCATGGCCAAGAGTAGGGTAATGGGCAGGACCAGAGTTTGCTTTTCTTCCCCCACCTAGACCAGCAGAGCAGCTGCAAGAGCAGACACAGCCAGGTGAAAGCAATGTAAGGAGCCTATACTGCAAGTCAGGAGCTGAAAGAGGTGCTGAGTATTTTGCCTGCTGGCTTCCCTTGGCCCCCAGCATCCTGCAGCGTTACAACCCAAAGTCATCAGACCCTACGCAGGGTTTAGTGGTGGCTAAGGGCAGTGATGAGAGGGTTGCCCTGTAGCGAGAGCGCTATAACAGTGTTATTGCCTCTGCTATTAAATTAACAGACAGACACACAAACTCTCGTTATCATTACAGGCTGATCTGCAGAGGCAGGTAGCACCTAAGGATTCAGCAACACGGATAATGCTTGGTTTTGATTATGTTTTCATGAAATACGAAGTCGTCGTGTGATGCACAGGTTAGAGACGAGGCAATTCAAGGACAGGATTGGTTGTGCAGTTGCTACTCTTTTTTTCAATGTACTGGAAATCTTCATGGCTGAAGGGTATTCAAGATCTGAATTTTTCTGCTGAACAAAATCTTGCTCACCTGTGAAACGTGCCTGCGGTTACCACACAGAGATGTTGGGGTAACGTTTTCAAACAAAACACATGCATGAGGAGATGCAGCAGTGACTACTGAACCTATTTTACCATTGTGGAGAGATACTTGTGCTTTATAAAAATCGTTTCTCCTCTCCTTTCTCGTCATTCACTGATGTTATACTATGGATCATGTTGACACTGCAATATTCTTTAATAATACTTACAAATTTGAAGCATCTTATGTAATGTTATGCTAATACTATTCTTCAAGTTCCTCTTTCTTATTTAAATATAATACTCCAAAAGGTGGAAGAGCTACTTTGAGAATGGTATTGAAACTGGATTTCTGGCTCAGCGTCCACTTTATTCTTCCTTGCAGGAGATGAGAGTTAATCCCCATCTAGTTCTGCAGATGGGCAGAAAATGGGATGTAACGACAGTTACCAGAGGCGCATCTTGTGCAACCCCTGAGCTGCTGTGGCTCACACCTCCTTTGTCGAAGGTTGTCACGGTGGAAGCTCACAGCAAGTGGAGTTGAGCCTTGGTGCCGTTCCTCTTCCAGGACAGGGGGAGATGCCTCCGGTCACTAGCAAATAGCTACCCCACCACACACACGCTCAGCTTATGCACGTACACACACATACTGACCTGCTCTAGGCCCTCAGAGGGGATTCATTTCATGGCAGACCAAGGAGTGGAGCTGCTTGCAGGTGGATTAAACAAGACTTGAAGGAATTATTCATTTGGAGATGGGCTCCAGATGGTTTGAGGTGAATTGGATTTCAGCCCTTTGAGCTAGGGATCAGACACAGCAGATACTAGCCTTTTAGCCATTAGGCAGGTCGTGCTCCAAGTGCTGGGATCACCGTGCACGTCCCCAGAGAGGAGTTGTTATGGCCGGGCTCTCCCTTGCAGCCAGCACAGGGAACGTGCCTGCAGGTTTCTGCCCACCTCACTCCCCAGCACGGTCAGTGCAAGGGCGCCCTGCGGACCCCCCGTGTGACCCCAGCTGGGATGGAGGAGGACCAGGTTCAGCTTTGCCTCCAGGTAGCTACCCTGGAAAAGGCAGATTTCCTGGGCAAAGGAAAGAAGGGAACCCATTCTCCATTGCTTGCCTGCTCTTGGAGCTTCTCTAGGCATCACTTCTCCTTCGACTTCCAAGGAGATGGTACAACCCTGGCAGTCCTCATGGATGTTGTCGGAGTCACTCCGTGTGGCCTGCAGGACATGGTGGCCTGCAGAAAGGCTCTGCATATGCTTGCAGCCAACTGAGAGCAATCCAGTTCTCGTTAGTATTTTAAGGTGCCTAAGCATTTTCAAAAAAGATGATGGCAGTGTATGTCTGTCATTGTTAGAGATGTTATAAAGGAGGGAGAAGGTACGATATTGTCTTTCCCCGCAGGAAAAGAAGGTAGTGCACTTAGTTGGCTTTATAGTTTTGTTGTGTTGTGGTTTTTTTTCTT